TGAATCACTGAACCCCACCATCCTCGGTGCCATTCTGCGTAAGAATATCTTGTACATGATTTCATTTGTAATAGAACATTTGTTCTGTGTGTAACCTTCTTATATATTTTCCTGAATGTCCCCACATTACAGGAAAATAATTAGCTTTTCAAATACCATGGAAGTACACAATAGTAGCTGCAAATAATTTCTTCATCTGGCTTAAAAACTTAATTGGCATTGACTTATGGAAAGTCTACACAATGATTTCTGCGAGGTCTTGTCGGGTGAAACTGCAGATAAAGCAAAATGTACTTCTGCTAGGTTTTAACAGATCCAGAAAAAGGATTTGACACCTACATACACTCAAAGCTTTACATATGAATACAAAACATGTCATCCATTATCTCAGAAATTAACTTAAATACTGCAAAATCAGTGTAGTAATTTGATGGTTTTAAATGTATATAGTTATGCTAAAATTAAGACATATCATTTCTGTTTACAGCGGAGACCAACAGGCAGTATAAAGATGCCAAGATCCTAGTATACAGAGTTGTGACTGAAAAATGCTGCAGGGTGAGGGCAACCCACAAGGCGCGCAAGAACAAGCCAGTTGCCCTCCCCGATGCCAACCAGCAAAGACAGCAGGACCTCACAATCAGCACAGGGGTTGTGGATGCCATGTTGTCCCTATATACCCTGGGCGGGATGCCCTAGATAGGGCTTTGCCCAGTAACATATAGAATAGAATAGATTGGTTTAATAAATATTTCTCAAAAGCTGTACCTCCATTACCCTCACTAAAAATAGACAACTATCTTAGTAGTACAAGTTTATGTTAACGCTATAGCCACTGCAGGGATTCTCCTCCTGTTGAACTGTTTCGCCCACACTCTAAACCTTTCTACGCAGAAGGCCATGCTCATGCCGACCGTTTGGAAGATTACATTATTGGATGGGGTAAAATTGAGTAAAGTTACTTTTAGAGTGGTAACACTACAGTTTATACATGTTCCATTTTAAAGAGGATTTGGGACAATCCATTTTTGCGTGCGGGAGTCCATGATAATAATGAATAATAATGAAGATAAATTTATTGCAAAGTCATGTATGGTAAGTTGACTTTGACTTGAAGTGACTACCTCCTTGTATCATCTGATCAGTACATTTTCATTCATTTTCTTATAGGATAAGGGAAACATTCTGTAGGGACCCATCTGGAACAGTTGAGCAGAGCAAAATTCTTGACATCCTTAGTGACTTCTTGGGAATTCAGCTTTAAAAAGCTGAATTCCCAAGAAGTCGGTAAGCACGTGAGGACGGCGGTCAGACATGGACACTTGTATTGTGCCTTACCACAGCGTAATCGATCTGGGTTAGAATGTGATATACAATTTGATAAATCAGAGGGTCATTCCGGAATAAAACGTAAGACTCCATAAGTGTCAAAACCAGCACAGGAACTCCTTAGAAACAACCTTGAATCTTGTCATAGAAATTCATCTTCAATGTATCATGTATTAGTGGCAGGGAAATTCCTGAATGTCGCCATGAAAAAACGATACAAACTTAAGAATGCTACCCTTACTTGAAAGATGTCCAAACTATGTCAGACTCAAAACCAGTACAAAAGAAATACCATCGTTGTGGAGCACAACTCTATTACCTCTCGACATAAGATTAAGAGAAAAGTAGGCAATCAAAAACATATGAGGCCAAGAAGAGTTCATAAATCATACATTGTTTCATTGGAATATCTCAATGGGCGGTCAGGAATTCTTGCAGTTTGCACTGATTTTGTTGCAGTCAAACTGTTTAACCTATTTGGACACAATGTTCTTCAGATTGATGGAACTGGTTGGGCCATTTTGTTGATGGACATAAAATAATGATGTAGTCATTACATGTTGATGTTGACATTCTCCGAGCAGATTCATATCCAACTGCAAAATACCCGGTTTGTGAAATTTATTCTCTCAATGACAACTCAGCATTTGCTATTTGAGAGGAGGGAAAGTGCTAGAAGTGGAGCCTAATTTGGTCAAACTCGATGCGGACCCGCGGAGTGGAAGGCCGTCAGGGAGAATTTGCCTTATGCGTTCTCAGACTTCAGTGTGGAGGATAGAGTAAGTATGCATGACGTAATTGTATTGCCCATGGATCCGCTTTGCTATTCCTCTCTCTCGGTATTGTTGAGACAATGGCTATACCAGGTTCTCTCGGAAAGAGGCAACGTCTTACAGACGACAACGGTGACCAAACCTCACTGACTGACTTGCTACACACGTGCATAAAGGAGACGAGAGAGTTGGACAGACCACCTGAGTCAGCGGTTCTTGGATTGCATGACCATACAAGTTTTGTGTTAGGTTTGTTCTCCACATTGCACCAGACTGGAGTTGAAGATCGCGTATCGTGTCATCAGCTCCCAATGATGCACCTATCAAGTCATTGCCCTTTTTTGACATAGGCGACACCTCAGAGCAGAATTTACCATACTTGGAGGTCGCATCTTGAGTATAATCTTGATCGAGTATAATATTGTGACTGCATTGTACTGATTGATAACATTAATGTTACTTGTGAACAATATCCTGTCATGTTGTCATGGCATCTTATGATTTTACAAAAGGCAAACGAAAACGACTTATTACTATTAGACAGCAGATGCCGCATTTTTACAAACTGATCTGCTCCTCCTGCGACGGGAAGGGACATATCAGTCGAGACTGTTGGCCGGCCAAAAAGCCTTTCCTCCAAGTAATTCTTGAGACAATCAAAACCATGTTTAAACCTAGGGTATAGAATTTTCTTCTTACACAACCAGTAAGGTTCTCACCTGCTTACGTTTCGATGTCTATCAGACACCTTCCTCAGAGCTTCTGACTGGAGTTCTGCAAAAGCGCCACCTACTTTGGCGTT